CGTCTCAAAAAAAAAAAAAAAAACCTTTGGGCTGGCCAAAACAAAATCTCTCTAGTTCTAAACTCTCTGCTCTTTCCCATGCACCACTGTTGTATGAGCTTATTTAACAGAAGAACCCTTAAAAAGAATTAAATCACTATGTAAGAACAACAACAAGTCCCACATACAAAAGAATTTCTCATTACAATTCCTCTTGGGACCATTTATACAATTCTATAAAATATGTAAAGTGATGTAACACAATAGGACAATCCTTTAACAATCCTCTCTCCCTAGATATTTGAATTCCTGTAACAGTAGTAGTGACCAAGGTTAATCACATTAAGTTCTAGTAACTCAAAAGGAAACCAAGTTTAGTCTATCTCCAAATACACTATAAGGAGTGGCTAACAGGGAAGAAAAAACCAGAAGATAATCTACTTGCTTTTACTTATTAACTTCTGAGAAATAGAATCAGAAATCAATTTAAAAAAAAAAAGAATTAGAAATCAATTGAAGTTTGAACTGTTAAGATTTAAAAATAAAGTAGATAATGGTGATCAAGGTAATATTAAGGGAGTAGATTACAGCCACAAAGTCTTTCGAAAGGGAAAAGATAAGTAATGATTTCAATGGTGCCAACAACACTTACCCTGCACATACTAAGTATTAAACACTCTCTCAAGATCTTTATGTGCTCTGTCTAATTTAATATCCTTAAACAGATGGTGGGAGCAAAACAATTAAGTGATCTGCAGCAGGTCTCAAAACTAGTTCAGGGAATAAGCCAGCAATGAAGTCAGGTCAATCTACTTCAGAGCTCAAATACTTAAGTACTACTTATACTGTCTCTGAGTAATAGATCAACTCACCATTTCACCGTAAGCTCTGAACAGACTATCAACTCATCTTTGTGCAGACTAAGCGTACCATTCCCTACCTGCTTTCCCATGAGGCATGGACACTTGGTAGTAAGTCAAATAAGGAAAGAGAAAGCTTCTTAAGAATGTGAAATGACTTAAAATTTTTTATTAAAATTTACCACAATTTATAAATCTAATATTTATTTTCTAATATGTTAAATCCAAGCCCCAAAATTACTTGATTATGAAATGGTAACATGATTAAACTCTGTCTGAAGGAAAAAGTTATTATCCATATATATTGATCCTTTTGACTATGAAATAGGCTAGTTTTGTAATTAGTGGAGTTTATAATGACATGCAGTGAGAATGAAAGTTGTGGTTCTTTAAAGCAAGGACAAGGACATGTTATGTTTCCAGGAAGATATTTAATAGATTAATTCATTAGTTAATTAATAGATATGGGTAGACGTATATATGTTTTTAGCCTTTTACATCTGACCTAAATGCAGACTTAAAGGAAAATGATTTTTTGTGCTCTTTTTATAATTTCAAACTATCCTTTTAAAAATGTAACAAAGTCAAATTTATCTACTCATTTCAAATTTCATTTTATAATCCCCTTAATCACTCAATTTAAGATCCAAAATAATTTTATCTACGAACATTTCACACTTACTTTTGGGGAAATTTTATTAAGTCTATAAGTCCTTTTTCTTTTGAGACAGAGTCTCACTCCATTTGCCCCAGGCTAGAGTGCCCTGGCATAAGCCTAGCTCATAGCAACCCCAAACTCTTGAGTTCAAGCCATCCTCCCACTTCAGCCTCCCAAGCAGCTGGGACTACAGGTGCCCAGCATAAGACCTGGCTAATTTTTCCATTCTTAATGGTGACAGAGTCTTGCTCTTGCTCAGGCTGGTTTTGAACTCCTGCCTCAAAGGGATCGTCCTGCCTCAACCTCACAGAGTGTTAGGATTACAGGTGTGAGCCCCACTGCCCAAACTACCTTCTTACTATTTAAAAAAAAAAAAAAAAAATCAAAGAAAAAAATATGCATGCATCCATTCTGTAAAAACATTGTTGACAAATAAAACAAAAAGGATTCATTTTTTAAATAAACAATACTACTCATGATATGTGGGTAATGAAACTAATAATTTCAAAAACTGTATCTCAGGTGTCATGGACCTGTAATCCCAGCTACTCAGGAGACTGAGGCAAGAGTAGGGCTTGAGCCCAGGAGTTTGAGGCTGCAGTAATGATTACACCACTGCTCTCATGCCTGGGCAACAAAGTGAGACCCTGTCTCAAAAAAAAGGTTAAGATAAAAAAACTATAATTCATACAGATCCATATCAGTGCTGAAGAAAAAGGAATGCAATCAATTGATTGTTCATCAAAATAAATATTGAATGTGGACCAAACACTGTCGACATGAAAATATCCAAAAAAGTTAACTTACTGGTTTAAAAAAAAGATAATCAATGAAATAAAACACTAATTTTCTTCTTTCCTATTATTCTCCATATTTCATCTGATTTTATTCTGTCTAGGTCTTGAGATAAATGCAAATGATCAACATGAGGACCCTTCAACAGGAATTTTAGGTACTTATACTGACCGGCTCAGAGTCATAGTAATAATCATCCCAGCTCTGTCTGAGGGGTTTCTTTGTTATCTGAAAGTAAGGCAGATTAGTTAGGTAGACGTAATGGTTATTACATTATTTTCTAATGATTTCTTAAACACAGTGTGCAGATAGCACAAAAAACAAAGAAACAAAGTTTTCTTTGTTGTCCAAAGGAAAGTTATTTGGCATAGCTGCATAAACAAGAAATAATTAAGTAAATATTTAGATTCTGGGAGATCCCATACTACTCTTCCCACTCCATGCATGCCATTGTCCAGTGAATGATATTTATATTAACTGCTGAGTCCATGTCCCATGAATACTGATGTGATAACAAGAATATGTTATGGCCATTAACTACAAAAGATCCAGAAGGGCAGTAAAACTCTGGATTTGCCTAATATTAACAACTATTAACTCATTTATAGTAGACTCCGAATTTGTAAAAAGGAAAATCTTTAACCATCCAAATATAATGCAAATAGTTTAAACAAGGGAGGAAAAAACTCAGAAGCTAAATTAGCAACTTAAAAAAAAATCTACTAAATTCTATCCACTAAAAATGCCTAGTATTATATGAGAAAGTGATGTTTTGAATAATTAGACAAAACAATATAGTGAAAAGTTATGAGATTTACTCCTTATTATGGAAATTTAGGGATGAATTTTGAGTTTTGAGGAGAGATCCAAATTTTCTAAGTCATTTGTCTTTGATGAATTTTATAATGACTATAACTATAAAAATCTTTATATGCTAAGTTGGTAACATCATATCATGTGAAGACATGTGTTAGATTTCAAGGCATGCAAATCAGGGTTCAAGTAATCCTTTGCAAAGCATTAAGCATGAATCATTAGTAACATTTAACATTCTGGGGTCTGTAAAAAGGAAATCACTTATAAACAGTTTTTATTATTTTCTTATAGAACTCTCACAAAAAACATTTTTATGAGAGTGGTATAATTTTTAGATTTGAAAACTATATCACATACATTTTTAGGTTATATGTATTTATATACAAGTTAATATCCATCACCAGGTTTGGGAATGAATGCTTTTTTTTTTTTTTTTGTAAGACAGAGTCTCACTTTATTGCCCTTGGTAGAGTGCCATGGCATCACAGCTCACAGCAACCTCCAACTCCTGGGCTTAGGCGATTCTTTTGCCTCAACCTCCCGCCACAATGCCTGGCTATTTTTTGTTGCAGTTTGGCCGGGGTCAGGTTTGAACCTGTCACCCTCAGTATATCGAGTTGGCACCCTACCCACTGAACCACAGACACCACCCATGAATGCCTTTTTGAAGAGGTAAAATTTAATAATGTCCTACGCTTCAAAATGCATTTTACAATCTCTTACCTGATTGAGATAATGATATTCCTCTGGTTGCTTAAGGTGGAATGCTGATCTTTCTTCTTCACTTGCTCCAGCCAGCAAGTAATAGAATACATGATAGTTCCTGATGTGAACAAAGAGGTATAACTTTCTAATGAATATGATTTATAATTACCATTTGGCAAGAAAAAAAGCAAAAATTAGTAAAATGTATCTATTAGCTTAGCTTTAGTTTTTAATACAAACATGGCAAGTTTCAATATTTAGGAATTCCTACAAATTGGAATTATGTTTTAGATGCAAATATAAAAAAGAAGACTGAAAGCAGCAAAATGACAGAGTGAGGGCCTTTGAAAACTCTCTCCTCCATAAAAACAAACAAGAAATCTGGCAAATTTTTCACAATTAACTTTTCAGAACTGTGGAAATTAGCCAAAAGCCTAGGAAGAAATCCAGAGAGTGTTCAATTAAAAAAAAATAAATAAATAAATAAATAAAGCTAGTTTTTCTCAGTAAAAACCGCAGAGGAATTTTAACTTACCCTATTCCATCCCCTGTTCACCAAGTCAACAGTATCCTGGAAAACCAATGGCGTACACCAGAAGACTGGGAGCCACCAGAAGAGGCTTAACAGGGTTGGAACTTGTTCAAAGTTCCCTAAGAAATACTTTTATTTTAACTGTCTAGTAGTAACCTGCAAGAAGCCATATTCAAGGCTGACATTATAAGACCTAATTCAGACTTTGTATAATGCAAAACTCTTTTCCCCAGAGGCATCTGTAGAAAATAATGTAGGCAATTGTTGAAAATGTTTGTTGCCTGAAGTGGTAGATAAAAGTTAAGCAAACAACAAGCTAGCCAAAAAACTAAAAGGAAAAGCTAGTGACTGGGATCTTCATATATGGTTGAACAGCTCGAATATATTAATGTTTCCTAGGAATCTAGAATGCCATATGGATATGTAAGGCTGTGCCCTTACCCAGCATTGTACTCTTAGAAAGGATTAGATGAAGTTACCTCTCTCTAATCTTGAAAGGTCTATACAAGCAGAAAGTAAAGAAGAAAGTGTATTTGTAAAATGCCTAGCTCAGTGCTGAAGATGTGACCCAATATACACAGAGGATCCTATGGAAAAGACGAGGAAACTTACTGTTTCCAAACATTTAGAGAAATCTCTGTTCAGTCATCACCTGACAACTAAGCTAAACAAGTAGCTACGTCAACTGCCACACTTGAGAAAGAATACAACCTTTCCGAAATTAGTTCAGAAACTAACCAAAAAAAAAAACCCAGTAGGAATAAAAATAACGAACACAAATCCTGAGAACTCATTTCCAGAGTTGCCACATTGTATTATTTTAAATGTCCAATTTTGATGAGTCATGCAAAGAAACAAGTTAAGTATAACCCATACCAAAAAAAAAAAAAAAAGAAGATCGCTTCTCAGACTTCTGGCTAAGATCAAGTGCAAAGAAAAGGGAAGAGAAACAGTACTAACTATCCCAGAGAAACCCTGGACATTAGACTTACTAGACAAGATTTCAATCAGTTACTTAAATATGTTCAAAGAACTAAAGAACTAATATTGAATGAACTACTAGAAGAAAGTATAAGAATGCTGTCTCACTAAATAGGGACTATTAGTAAATACATAAAAGAACAAATCAGTGAACCTAAAGAATAAGCAAATTTGAGACAGGTCAGTTGAATCTAGTCTTGAGGAACAAAAAGAAAAATGAATGAAGAAAATTGAACAGAGTCTTAGAGAACTGTAGCTACCATTGAAAACACCAATACATATTCCTGTTCAGAGTCTCAAAAGGAGAAGAACGGAAAAAATATCTGAAAAAGTAATTTAGGACTGAGTGCAGTGACTCACTCCTATAATCTTTGCACTCTGGGAGACTGAGGCAAGTGGACTGCCAGAGCTCAGGAGTTCAAGACCTGCCTGAGCCAAGAGAGACACCCTGTTTATTATTTTAAAAAAGAAAAAAAAATAGCCAGGTATTGTGGCAGGTGCCTGCAGTCCTAGCTAGTTGGGAGGCTGAGACAAAGAATAGCTCGAGCCCAAGAGTTTGAGGTTGCTGTGAGCTGTGACACCACAGCATTCAACCCCATGGCAACTGAGTGAGATTCTGTTTCAAAAAAAAAAGGAGGGGGGAGTAATTAAATTACCAAAAGTTTCTCAAATTTGATGGAAAACACTTGCACATCCAAGCAACTCAATGACTCCAAGAAGGATAAACTCAAAGAGTTCCATATCAAGACCAACCAAAACTGTAGAAAAGACAAAGCACCAAGAAAAAAATGCTCCATCAAGGTATCCTATTTTAAGATTAATAGCTAATTTCTTACCAAGAACTTGGTAGAGAGATAACATATTCAAAGTGCTAAGAAGGAAGAAGAGTTAATTAAGAAGTATATATCCAAAGAGAGTGCAAGTAAAACACTTGAAGATATTGCCCTGGGAAAATATTTTATGAGGAAGACCCACCCTCACCCCAGCAATTGAAGCAACACCAGAAATATATTACTGGGATCTGATCAAGCTAAAAAGCTTCTGCACAGCTAAGGGCACTGTAAGTAAGGAAAACAGACAGACTTCAGAACCAGAGAAGATTTTTGCAGGTTATGTTTCCAACAAAGGACTGATAGCTAGAATCTACCTGAGAAACTGTTTTCTTATTCTGATAAAATCTCCTCCTGGCAGCCTCTGAAAAACCACAATGGTCTGCCCATGACAGAAATAGCAATTATACATAAAGCTATGCACGAAGTAAACTGAATTAAGGGTCGTAATAAAAGAGCTTAAAAGTCAATCTGTATGAAACAAATCTTAATTTGATCTAATTACACAAATAAAAATATGTACCGTTCATTATGCTCTTGATAAACGAGTCTGGACTTCTCCAGTAGATATTTTTCAACATAGGCACTAGAAAAAAAGTAAAGTGGGTTGCTATCAATAATAAAGTTTAATTTGTTGAGAGACAATGCAAAGAATACTATCCAGATCATTTCAGCACATTTAGTATTCTAACTGTGTTATGGATACTGTTACTGCTATTCATGTTAGATTCATTAAGGTTATAAGTGGGGCTTTTTTCATTTAAAAAAGCAAAATAAAATCAGAAATTTGAAACATAGTACACAAGATCCCCAAGATTCAGACTCTACATTCTTGGATGGCGCCCGTGGCTCGAAAGGGTAGGGCGCCGGCCCCATATGCCAGAGTTGGCTGGTTCAAACCCAGCCCCGGCCAAAAAAAAAAAAAAAAAGAGTCAGACTCTACACTCTTTCTAGGCTCACATACCACTATACATTCTTCCAGACATTATACTTTGGCTAGACTACTACTTAAAGATAATACTTTGTTTCTTTATATGTTCTTGCTATTGTCACAGTCTAAAATATATTTATTATTTATTGATTTGTTTTGTAAGCATTCATTTACAGGCATTTACTGTTCATTTACTAATAACAAGGAATATGGAAATAAGTAATACATGTGTATACTACCTGTTCTGAAACGGCTTACAAATTCATGGAGGAAATAGATAAACTAGCTATCATACTGAGTTGACAAGGTTTATCACAGAGCAATAACCAGGATATGAACCATACATCAAGAATGATACCTGACAGTCAACTCAAAAAGAAAAAAGGATGTAAGGAAGAATCTTAGTGGAAAGAGGATCTATAACATAAAATTTAAAAGCTTTAGACTACTAAATACAAATTACTTAGCACAAACCTCTTTGGAGTCAAAATCTGCCTCAAGCTGTGTTTTCCCCATTTCTCTCCCATCACTTCTTCTATACTCAGTCACTCCCTAATATAGGCTATTCCCTCATGTATGCAATCCACTCCTGACTGCACTGCTCATATTTTTCCTTCTATTTCTAATTCCCTAGTCTATTCTCCAGTTTCTGTCCAGTAAATTTCATGCTTTCATTAAAACAATAGCTCAAGGCCAGGCATGGTGACTCATGCCTATAATCCTAGCACTTGGGAGGCCAAGGCAGGTGGATTGCCTGAGCTTACAGATTCGAGGTCAGCCTTAGCCAGAGCAAGACTGCGTCTCTAAAAAATAACCAGGCATTGTGGTGGGCACCTGTAGTCCCAGGTGGGAGGCTAAGGCAGGAGGATCACTTGAACCCAAGAGTTCGAGGTTTTGTGAGCCAAGACATCACAGCACTTTACCAAGGGTGACCAAGTGACTGTCTCAACAAATAAAAAAAATTAAATTAAAAATAAAACAGTGCTCAAATATGCTTTCACAAATCCATTATCACGACTACCACCAGAAATTAAAATTTATTAGTACTTCTTCTGAATTATCATTACCACCTCTAGTCTAAAGTACTGCAACAGGCTCTTATCTGTTTAAAATGGAAAAAAGGAAACAAACATGAACTAAAATGTTAAATCCTCACAACCACCCTATATGGCAGATACTATTGCCCCTATGGTACAGGTATAGAAACTCCATACATACATACCTATGACACTTTAATTAATAAATTAGGCACAGGAAGAGAATAACACAATAACTAATAATAAAATAGAACAATTATAACAATATACTATAGTACAGGTTATGTGAACATGATGCCTCTCTCAAAATATTGTACTGTACTCACCTATTTTCAATAAACTGAAACCTTAGAAACCAAAACCATGGATGCTGGGAAACTAGGTAATACCAACACACTATTTCCTGGACATCTCTCTTTCCCAATCTGTGAGTTATACTGCTACAAGAGTTACCTACATATAAAGTAAGATCTAATTATGTTATCCTTTTACTTTTACTGAATTATGGAGCTCAAGTGAATTCAAGGAGTATCAATTCACTGTACGGGTGAAACAGTAATTATATCTGAGTATTTTTTTTAAATATAGACAAAGTCTTGCTATGAGGCCCACGCTGGACTTAAATTCCTGGAATCAGAACCCCTGAGCTCAAGTGATCTTCCCACCTCAGCCTCCCAAGTAGCAGAAACTAGAGACACCTATCACTGTGCTAATTGCATTTTTTTTTTTTAAATAAATTCACTGACACTAACACTCTGGTTTCTCTTCAGATCATATAAACCTTCTTTTTTTTTTGGAGACAGAACCTCACTCTGTCACCCTTGGTAGAGTGCTGTGGCATCACAGCTCACAGCAACTTCAAACTCTTGGGCTTAAGTGATTCTCTTGCCTCAGCCTCCCAAATAGCTGGGACTACAGGTGCCCGCCACAACGCCCAGCTATTTTTTTTTTTATAGTTGTCATTGTTGTTCAGCAGGCCTGGGCTGGGTTTGATCCCACCAGCCCCAGTGTGTGTATACACTGACACTAACAAACAGAGGAAAGGGTACAGATGAAGCAAATTAGGCAAAACTAGATCATTGCCGAACCTGAGTGGGAATTCCTTATATACTTACCTTTACTTTTGTGTATATTTGATATATTTATAAGTTTTTACATCAGCTTCATGGTGTCAAAAGGATAGTTATTAGGTCATCAAATATGAAATGTTTAATTTCAAATCAATAGTTTATTATATCTCAAACAAGAAGTGGTACAATTTATCAAAGTATGTACTTAACTATTGACACATGTTATCTTAATGGTAGGTGTTTACAAAAGCAACAAAGAAGCATGGAAAACAAGTGACAATGAAATAATGAAGGGCATTTTCTGCAGCCTGTTGAAAACAGAGTATTTTTCCTTGCAAGAAGTGGTCCAAAGCCTGGAAGAATTGGCAGTCAGTTGGTGCAAGGCTTGGCAAATATGGTGAATGACAGAGTTTCCAAGTCCAGCTTCTCTAGTTTGAACCACATTTGTGCAACACATGGTCAAGTGTTACCCTGCAAGAGGAGAGTGGCCTGTCTCTAGTAACCAAACTCAGCTGCTTAATCACAAGCATCCTCATCATGTTGTCCAACTGGCTGTAGAAGATATCCTCTAAAATCAGTCGACCAGATTTATGAAGCTATAGTGGTTAATACCAGCACTGGCCCACCAAAGAGACATTAGTTTTTTTAGTAAGTATTTAGTTTGGGATTGTGTTTGGCACTTTATCTGTATTCAACCATTATGATGAATACTTGGAATTGTCAGAAGAGTCCATTTTTCATCACACATAACAATATGGTATAGAAATGACTCATCTATATGTTATGACAGCAAAGAAAGGCAAGCTTTAAAACAATGTCTCTTTTGATGCTCATTTAATTCCAGCAGCACCCATCTATCCAGCTTCTTTACATTGTCAATTTGTTTCAAATGGTCCCATACTATTGGCATAGTAACAATAAATCTTGCTGCTAATTCACATGTAGGTTGAGATAGGCTTAAGACAGATTTCCTTCCACTACAGTTTTTAGCTCATCATTATCTGCCTTGGTTATCTCAAGTTGCCCATGTGGTTCATTTTCAAGATTAAAATCACCAGAACTAAACTTCTCAAACCAACAATGTACACTGCATTCATTAGCCTCAATCTTCCCAAACACTTTATTGATACTTTGAGTTCCATAATGGAACTCTTATTTGAAAAGTTTTGACTTATTCATGGCTTCACAAAAATTATTCTAAAAAAAAACTTGAAAGTTAATTACAAGCCTAAATGTGCGTTTGAAAAGATGATGTACCTTCACAATAAAAATAAAACAAGAAGTGTCAAACCTAAATGTCAGAAATACCAACCATCAAACTTAGTACACAAGGAAATTGGACATTTCATACTTAATAACCCCATACAAACATTAGAGCTTTAGCTGCAGTTTGATACCGACTGATCATCATGTCCATACTCCAGAATCATTGAACATGTCTCCTCAAGTATCCCAAACTCTTAATTCCATTTACTTGTTAATGCCAATTCCTTTATCAATGTGATTTCCCACGTCTGCTTGGCAAATTTTCAATACTCAAATTTGATAACAGCCCAATAAAACCAAGCCATGGAAAGATACAGAGATACCTTAAAATACATACTGCTACAATACTGTATGATTCCAGCTATACAACATTATGGAAAAAGTAAAACTATGGAGACAGTTAAAAAGATCACTAGAGATTAGCACATATCAAAGGGACAAATAAGCAGAGCACAGATGATATTTAGGGCAATAAAATTACTCTGTATTATACTCCAATGGTGAATACAGGTCATCTGTCATTTGTTAAAACTCAGAATATACTCACAGTGAACCTTAATGCAAAGGACTTCAATTAATAAGAATGTATTACTATTGGCTCATCAACAAATGAACCACATTTATATAAAATGTTTATAACAGAAAACTGTGGAGGGAATTTGAAGGGATATATGGAAACTCACTGAACGTTCCACTTATTTTTGCTGTGAACCCAAAACTGCTCTAAAAAAAAAAAAAGGCTGCTAATTCAAACAAACAAAAAACTACAAAAACATTGCTAGCTCAACCCAGGGACTATGATCATTCATCACATAATAAAAAACATAGTTGTAACTAAATTTGCATATAATATAATGATAGAAATGATAATGTAGAAAATGGAGTTGCTTTAGGAAATACAGTAATTAAGGAGTCAAATTATATGTCCAGCTTACTTGAAAAAACAATTTGTTTTTCAATTATAAAATTTTAACCAAATACAGAGAAATATAAAACACCCTGGTTCACATAAAGGAGTTAACTCTCACACTTCCTTTGCTAATATTTGTGGTGAGGCCCTTAAGATGTCTTTGGTATGATGTGTAATTTTAGGAGACTGGACTAAATTTTGGGTGATGGATGAAGAAGAGACCAGCTCTGTCGTAGGTAGACTGTGTCTCTAAAGAAGGCTGAGCAGGGAAAATATGTGTGTGGTAGAGACGGTAGAGAAGAGTATTCTTGGGAACATATTTTTAGCATATTTAAGCATATCTAAGCATATTTCCTTAGCATAGGAAAGATATCAAGGGTCTTTCCTTTAGCTTCAAAGGTCTGGATCCAACTGTGAGCCTTGATTTTGATAATAGCTTAATTCTTTGATCTGTAGTAAGTTTTCTAGTAGGTTAGTGACTTGGGTTCAATGCCCATGAAAGAACATTGATCAGTGTTCTTTCAGCTGTCATTGAACATGCTTTGTATCCATTAAAGGAAGTCTTGACAGAAACAAGGAAAGTCAGATGGTCAGTAAGTCATTAAAGGCTGCCACCCAATAGGAGCTGAGGTCAGTGTCCAGCAAGGAACACCATACACAATGTGGAGGTGGTGGCAGTGCTGGGCCTTAGCCTCTCTCTGGTTCCCTGGAAGCAGAGAGGAGACTCCTCCATGTCTCTCTCCTCCCCCTGTAGCCTGAGGCAGGGGAGGCCAGGTGGCCCAACTGGCTGGAGGTGGGTCTGCTGCTCTAGAGTGGGTATTCTCTTCACAAGGATATGCAGACAGTTCGATCCCCAATAACACAAGTAACTTTTGGGCTGGATAATGCAGGGTAAACTACTATACTTTACCATGTTTTGATGAAGTTGTGTATACATCTCCTTCCAATTTGCCTTCTCATTAGTTTCTTCCAAAGTAAGTTATTAAAGCTGTGACTGATGTTTTCCTCATAATGAATCCTCTCAGGGCACTGTGTAGCCATCTCTTCAATTAAGACTTAGAAAACCAGCGCTATGGCTGCTGGACAGCTCCAGGAAACTGCTGAAGGATGACTGTGGCAAGACTGATGCCAGTAGGGTGTCACAGTCATTAGCATTCCTGAGCACTACCCGGCTCTAGGTCTGAGCAGACAGCAAAAGGAGCATCCTGAGAAAGGCTCTGACAACAAGTTCAAGTTCACACTCCCTGAGGCTCCCCCACCTCAAAGCCTAATGCCCTACGTACTGTGCACAGGGCTGGGGGGGGCGGGGTTTGCTCGCAACTCCCTCTCTCTCCTCCCCATGCTCATAGCCTGCAGCCTCTTGAAAACAATTTTTTTTAAATGAGTTTTTTTAAAAAATGAATGTATGTATAACATAGAAAAAGCCATCATAACAAATTGTTAATGACTAATAAATCTAGGTTAAGGGTATATAAGTGTTACATTAGTCTCACAATTCTGAGGTTTCAACTCCCCAACCCCCCGCCAAAAAAGGTCAACAAAACAATTTTAATACAGACACCAGTGTCTGTAAAAGACCAAGGCATAGTTTACAAAGGAATAATGACAAAAATAAAAATATGCTCCAAAAGCTACTATAGCTATGTAGCAGTACTTACCCAAGTACAGTGCCTGTTTCCTGGTAATTTACTTGAATAAACTTGCCAAAACGACTTGAATTATTATTATGAGCTGTCTTTGCATTTCCAAAGGCCTGTCAAATAAACAATTCTGATTAGTTTTACTTCAATTTTTTCTTTCTGGAAAATGCTGCTTAGGTCAGCTCAAAGAGACAAAATTCTAAACAGATAGTAGAAACACAGTTCAATTATATGTTCAGACTCATAATTCAGGTAAAATAAGTAATTAATAACTGAAAGAAAATCAAGTACATTTTAGAAATCTTCCTGCTTTAGCATCCCCAGTAGTAAGGACTACAGGTAGGCATCACCACACCAGGTTAATTTTTTTAATTTTTTGTAGGAATAGGGTCTCACTTGTTCTTGAACTCCTGGCCTCAAGTGATTCTCCCTCCTCAGCCTCTCAAAGCACTGAGATTACAGGTCTGAGCCACATGTCCAGCCATTAATCAAATCTTAATTTTTAAAATTTCATGCTCATTAAAATTTGGATTTCTCATCCACATTCCAGAGCCAAAAATAACATGAGCTCTAACATGTATACTTATATATATGTTCTTTAAATCCTGCTAAACTGAAATAACAAGGGGCTAAGAAAAGAAGAATTACAGCTTTAGAACAGTATAAATGAACTGATGTTTCACTACATAATGTACTAAACCTTTATTATGCCTATTTAAAACAAAGCTATAGTACTCATTACAAAAGAATATAACCTGTAAGTTTGCTAAATTATTACCCAAAATATATACCTTACAATGGAATACTGCCCAGAAATAAAAGTAAACTAATCTGAACATCAACAGTGATTAATATCAGACATGCTAAGCACAAGAAATCAGCACATCAGAGGTTATTTGGGAAATGGAGTGGGAATGGGAAATGTCTACATGGAGATACGAGTTATGATGAATATGTTCTACAGCTTGACTGTATGATGGTGGTTCCATGTACATATACATTTATCAAAACTCATCGTACTATACATTTTATTACATACAAATGTGTATGTTTCATTGTTAAGTTGTATCTCAATATAGCACAATAAATTTATTAAAATTAAAATTTTACAAAACTGGGTGGCGCCTGTGGCTCAAGGAGTCAGGCGCCGGCCCCATATCCCAGGGGTGGCGGATTCAAGCCCAGCCCTGGCCAAAACTGCAAAAAAAAATTTTAGAAAACCAAAGCCACTGCCCACACCTATCCCATTGACACATTTGAAGGAACAAAACTAGAAAAGAGAGAGTTACAGATGATTCATTTCAGAGCTTTTCCTTTTTTCTCCTACTATAATGATCTCATAGAAATGGCATGCCCTCTAACTCCAAAACCTAAACCAGTCATTTACAAAACACCTCCTAAATGCAAAGCTGTTTGTGCTAAACTGTAATTGTGCAAAGTGCACATAAACAGACACATACACACACAAAAGACAGGCTGAGAAGGTAAACTAAGTTGATGACCTAACAATTACATTTCCACTCCAGTAATTCTCAAAGTGTGGTCCCATGACCAGAAACATTAGTATTACCTGAAAATTTGTTAGAAATGCAAATTCTTCGATCCTTTATAAAACTACTAGAAGAGAAACTGCAGCAATTCTGTGTTTTGATAACCCCTTCAAGTGGATCTGATGCAAGCTAAAGTTTGACACCCACCATTCTTATTATGGATGTATTTATTAAATTTCTGTGAAATTATCTTTCATTGTTTATTATTCTATAGTGATAGTAGTAAACATACAGATTCATAAAAATCTCCAGAAATGCCCCTTATGAATATTTAGATTCCACCGAACCTAAAGAAGGGATGGGAAAAGCCTAGGCTCTTAGGCCCCTCCAACCCATCTATGAGCTATACATACAAAAAGGCTTGACACTGGTGAGTTCTGAATGCTCTGAATAGTTTCTCCCTTCTGCCTTTTCCATCATAGCAAGTCTTTTCCAAGGAAATGAGAAAACTCATTCATAGCACAGAGTCTTAAAATGTATAATGCTGATTTCATAAAAGAAATGGTCACTTAAATCTCAAATGGTTTATATTTCAACAAAAATTTTTTTAAAGGCTTGGAGCTATGAAACATACTTCTATTTTCATATATGACACTCTCAATCCTACCCAGTGCTTCAATGTCAACAGTCAATCAGAGGCTTTCTTGCTACATAAACTTTGACTGGAAAAAACTCCAGAGTGATGTAAAGTCATCTAAAGCCACTCTTAGAGATAGCCTTGCAATAGATACTTCGCCAAACAGGTATATGGATGTCAAATAAGCATGAGAAAGCATGTTCAACATCACTGGCTACTACAGAAATTGGATTACGACCACAACGATGGGTGGCACCTGTGGCTCAGTGAGTAGGGCGCTAGCCCCATATACTAAGGGTGGCAGGTTTGAACCTGGGCCCAGCCAAACTGCAACAAAAAGTAGCTAGGCGTTGTGGCAGGTGCCTGTAGTCCCAGCTACTCAGGAGGCTGAGTTGGAGGTTGCTGTGAGCTGTGACACCACAGCACTCTACCGAGGGCGACAAAGTGAGACTCTGTCTCTACAATAAATAAATACCACAATAACATACCACGAAACACCTATTAGAATGGCTAAAAGAAAAATTGACAATACCAAATGTTGTTGAAGTTGCAGTAAGAACTGGAAGATTTATGTAGTGCTGGTGGAAATGCAAAATGGTAACAGCAAATCTGGAAAACAACCTGATAGTTTCACAAAAAATTAAAAGTACTTAGGCCGGATGTGGCGGCTCATGCCTATAATCCTAGGACTTCGGGAGGCTGAGGACTGCTTAAGCTCCCAAGTTCTAGACCAGGGAGAGCAAGAGACAGACCCCATCTCTGAAAAATAGCTGGGCATTGTGGCAGGCACCTGTAGTCCCATGTACTCGGGAGGCTAAAGCAAGAGTTGAGGTTGCTGTGAACTAGGCTGATGCCACGGCACTCTACCAAGGGCAACCAAGGGCAACAAAATGATACTCTGTCTCAAAAAAAAAAAAAAATTAAAACTACTCTTTTTTTTTTTTGAGACAGAGCCTCAAGCTGTTGCCCTGGGTAGAGTGCCATGGCATCACAGCTTACAGCAACCTCCAACTCCTAGGCTTAAGTGATTCTCTTGCCTCAGCCTCCCAAGTAGCTAGGACTACAGGCGCTTGCCACAATGCCCAGCTATTTTTTGGTTGCAGCCATCATTGCTGTTTGGTGGGCCTGGGCTGGATTCGAACCCACCAGCTCACTCTTATAAAAAGAGCAATCCTACTCCTGAAGTGTTTACTCTAGAGAAATGCAAATTTATATATACACAAACATCTAACCACAGATATTATTATCAACTTTACTTGTGACAGCCAAAGCTTGGAAATAACTAAAATGTCCATCAACAAATGAAGGCTTTAACAAGGCTTTAACTGTGGTACATCGTACATCTATATAGTAGAATACTATTCAGCAGTGAAAATATACAACCAATTGCCATATTAACAATCTGGGTGAAGCTGAAAGATGTAACATTGAGTAACAGAAGTCAATCTCAAAATTTTACATATTATATGATTCCATTTATATGTCATTCTCAAAAGCAAAAATTCAGCAACAGAGAAAAGATAAGTAGTTGCCATGAGTTATGAGAATATGGCAGAGTATGGGATGTGAAGATAAGAAATATCATGAGGGAGTTTTATGGAACAGAGAAACTATTCTGTATCCAAATTGCACAGTTAGTTATACAACTTAGTATGTTTTAAAATTCACAGAACTTTATTGTAAGAGTATTTCTTATGATAAAACTTTTAAACCTAAAAAAATAGTAAGTCATTCAAAAATGAAGGCCAAAAAGCAAAAATTTCAGACATACAAACTGGACATACTCATCACAAGCCAATCTGCACTAAAAGAAACGTTAAAGGAATTCCTTCAAGCAGAAGGAAAATGATACATTAAAATACTGACCTACATAAAGAATGAAAGATAGCGATACAATAAAAAAAAAAAGATAGCAGAAATGGCCACCACATTAGTAAACTACAAAATATATTTTATTACTTAAATCTCTTGATCACTGAAAGAAAAGTTAGCAAAAATGGCAGAGTAAGGACCTCTGACAATCCTCTTCTTTATAAAAGCAATGAGAATACTGACAAATACTGTCAAAGTCAACTTTCTAAGAACTCTGGAAATTAACCAAAGGCTTGCAGCAATCCATGGTAGAGGACATTTAATCAAGAAAAACAGCTGAGTCTTCATAAGTAAAACAGGTATTGAACTATCCCTCTCTCTAGTCCACACTGTAGAGAAAAATCAACCTCCTACAGTACATCCTACAGCATCCATTTTGTAAAGCATCCTAGAAGCCATTGGAAAGCCCTGTTCCTCCAGATCATGGGTCCTCAAACTTTTTAAACAGGGAGCCAATTCACTGTCCCTCAGACCGTTGGAGTGTCGGACTGCGGACCCTGGGATGAGTTGGCTGCTGAGCAGGATAGGCAGTGGCAGCAAAAACACCTGGTGGACCAGATAAATGTCCTAGGCGGGCTGCATGTGGCCCGCAGGCCGTAGTTTGAGGATGCCTGCCCCAGACAATCATCACAATTTGACTGGTCTAGAATTTCCCTGGAAAAACTCACTCAAAGGGTTGTTTTACTTTCAACTTACTCGGAAATCACTCACTGAGCCTTTCCACACCACCCCCCAAACTGTGCTACATGTTTAAAATACTGCAACTGCCTGCTGTGGCAATAACATGGTAAGGAGGGGAAAGAGAGAGAGAGAGAGAAGAAAAATTAGCCGAAAAACTGGTGAGTAATAAATATGAAGGGGGCTTTAAAAAGATAGGAAATATTCCAGGGCATGTAGAAGCCCATGTGAACGCATAGCACTGCACATGCCGAGGAATATGTGCATTATTTATAGTGTACAACATAATGTTTTCATATATGTATGCATTGTGGAATGCTAAACCAACCTATTTAACATACGTATCACCTCATATACTTACCATTTTTTTGTGATGAGAACACTTAAAATTCATTCTCTTAGATATTTTTAAGTATACAATATATTAACAGTAGTCATCATGATGTACAACAGCTCTCTTTAACTTATTTCTCCAATATAACTAAAAATTTGTGTCCTTTGTCCAATATCTCTCTAATCCCACCACCCTCCAGCCTTTGGTTACCAAAATTTTACTCTCTGTTGTTATGCTTTTAATTTTTCCAGATTCTACTCATGAGTGAGATTATGGGGTACTTGTCTTTCTATATTTCTTTTGACATTTGATAGTTTTACTTCTAAAATATCCCATAACTAAATATTGTTTCCCATATACTCCACAGTTTTACAAGTGAACCCTTAAGAGTTTCAATCCCAGGTACAGATATTAAGGTGCGGGGAATACAAATACACTAGAAAAATATTTTCCCCAACCACCTACTTCCACAACCCAGATATAGACAGGATTCCTGCCCCTGCTTTCTGCCTTCATAGGGGGATATTTATGACTCTGGTAATCTCTTTCTTTGCATCATTAATGACCCAAAGACACTCTTTTTAGAAAGTTACCACTGTCACACCCTTAAATCTTTTATATAGGGTGTCCATAAAGTTTGAGTGCAATTGGGGAGGGGAATGCACTCAAACTTTATGGACACCCTGTACTGTCTTTTTCGTTTTTCCATCTTCTAGTTCCCCTTGATAACTAAAAACTAAGTTTACACTTCTATTTAGTTTGAGCTTAACTTCTCATGTCTACAAAGGATTTTTTAAAAATATGTTTAAGAATCAGATGCCCAGCATAGAAGCTCATACCTGTATTTCTACCACACTGAGGTTGGAGGTTCAAGAGCCTGAGCAAAAGAAGAGTCAAGTGTTCCCATCTCTACAAAAATTAGAAAAATTAGCCTGCCACGGTGGTGAATGCCTGTGGTCCCAGCTACTCAGGAGCTTCTTAAACCCAGGAGCTGCAGGGTGCAGTGAGGTCTAATGACACTGCACTATAGCTGGGGCAACAGAACAAGACTGTCTCAAAAAGAATAATAAAAGAACAAGAAAAGCAACAAGCACAGTGGCATGCACCTGGAGGGTTAAGGGAGGAGGATCACTTGAGCCCAGGAATTAGAGACCAGCCTGTATAACATAGGGAGACCCTGTCTCAAAACAAAAACAAAAAGTGTAAGTTCATCACCTAAGAGACTATAACAACTAGTCAACATACAGAGGTGGTCAACATAAGGAACTAGGCCTACTACACTTCTATGTACATGTGGTACATGTCCAGTCTATGAAAATCAGGTCAATTTAAGAAGTTGGTCAATGTAGGGAGGTGGTCAACTATAGATGTTCTATACACTTACCTCAAGTACTGGTCCAGCTCCAAGAATAATCTGTTCTACTCCACTGGCAAATCCTTTCTGACTGAGAGCAGTAAGGTGGTGAATAAGAAAGTTTGTGCTTTGAGTCTTCCCTGAACCACTCTCTCCTGAAATCACAATGCACTGATTCTTTTTACGCTGAAGCATGGCATGATAAGCTACATCAGCCACAGCATAAATGTGGGGCTCAAGTTTTCCCAATTGGTGATTATCATACATTTTGACATATTTGGGGTTATAAATAGGAAGAAACTTGAATGGGTTAATAACTATTAGAATACTGCCAACATAGGTATAAATTTTTTCATGCTTAAAGCGATTCCGTAGGTTTTCTAAGAGAGTTTTCTCATTCAAATCAGGTAAGCTACATAAATCATCAAAGTCTTTCTGTTGGGGCTGTGGAAGAAAACCCCGTTCCATCATTCTGCGACGTTCTTCCGTTACCCGTAGCCATGACTGAAGACTACCATAGTGGATGGAGCCATCAAGGTTTTTTTCTCTCAGAAGAAAGCGATAGTCCTCTCCACTCAAGCGATTTTCCAGAGCCATTCGGGGCCACAACATCATTCGCTGAACTGGACAGTCCGTTGGATTGAGTATCCATTCTTCTCCACCGAATTCCTTTACCTCTGCTAGAACGTAACATTTTGTTTTGTCAAGATGAAGTTTGTTTATAAGAGAGTCAATCACCTCAGCAGCTGTGGAATTTTTCCTGGCAGGAATTGGACAGTAGATCGTTCCTTCTGAAATTGTCCCAGGATATATACGCAATGTATGCTCATTATCCTCAAAGCGTCGTCTTCCTCCATCATTTATATTCATATTGGATCCTGTCCCATCAGCACAGATAGTACATGTTCAAGATCTTGTAAACCATTTTTTTTGGCAAAAGAACTGTAACATAAAAGTGAAACATTTAGAAGTAATATTACCCATTACTTTCTGATGTTCAAGAAACAAAAGGCTTAACAGATATGTTGACTACATCTTTTAGAACACAAAATTCTAATTCTTAGTACTGAAACAATTTGAAAACAGACTCATTGAGAGCACATAATAGTAAGGTTCGTTGTCCACATCTGAGCAGTTTCTAACACCACGCACCACATCAAAAATATGTATTTCACTGTTTTATTATATTAATAATTCAAAATCCAAAGAGTAAAGTTATTTTTTTCACCTGCTACCTCAAATGTTCCTAAAGTACTTGGGATTAAAACCAAGTTCTTCCCTTGTACTTGACAAACTCACTAATGACCAGAATAAGACAGAATAATCACACAAATCTAATCATCTTGTACCAAAAATCTCTTAAGGATAAAGTAAAAAGAAGAAAGAATATCATCAATGGAGCAAAAGTTTTACAAAGGTCATTAAAAACAGTAAGATTAGATAAATAAATTAAACTAGATAAAGTTAAAACCAAGACAGTAAGTGGTATCTGTTACTGAAATAAGACACTTATTTAAGGAATTCTTGGCTTGTGACTCTTATCCTCCCCTATAGTGGGAAGAAGAGGCCAGTTTGGCAATAGCGACAAAAAGATCTTGCCCCTGATCTCCTGAGCAAATGTGACAAAATTATACAAGTGGACACCGTTACAAATTTTACTCAATCTCCCTTTGTCCTTCATCACAATCGTTCTACCTTTTCTTCTTTTAATTTTTTATTTTTAATTATTATGTGTACATAATAGTTGACATAATTATGGGGTACATGTAGTATTTCAACAAACATAAAAAGCAGCCATATATTAAAAAGACAAAAATAGTAGATGTTGATGAGAATGCAGAGGAAAGGGAACTCTCACATACAGTTGGTGGGAATATAAATTAGTGCAGCCTCTACAGAAAACAGCTGGGGCTAGAGCACTAATGATCGTCACTCACTGCCACCTCAAACTCTTGGGCTCAAGTAATCCTCCTGCCTCAGCCCCCCAAGTAGCTGGGACGACAGGTGCGTGCCACCACACCCTGAAAATTTTTCTTTTTTTTTGTAGAAATGAGATCTCACTGTTGCTCAGGCTGGTCTCCAACTCCTGGCCTCAAGCAATCCCCCCACCTTAGCTTCCCAAAGTGCCAGGATTACAGGCACAAGCCACTGCTCCAAGCCTGCAAATTATTATACATGTTTCCTCATGTGCCTTTGCCAGTATTTCTCTGGGCTTATCTAGGAGTGAAATTGCTAGGGGTTAGGCATCTACAACTTTACTGAACATAATACTCTCAACAATAATTGTTCCAATTTACTACCTTGCAACCAGTGTAAAGAGAATTCACTTTTGTCTCCTTACCAGAAGTTAGTATTATCAGACGTGAATCTAGAATTACTAGATTCTTACAATCTAGTAAGTATGAAAAGGACAACCCATTACTTTAACTTGCATTTCCCTGATTACTAGTGAGAATGGGCAACTCCAATCCTCTCATTTGCCATTTAGGCTATGTTGCTCATTCATTTTCTTTTCCCTTTTTTCATTAGTTTTCTTTTTCTTACTGGTTTGAATGAGTTCGTATATTAATAACCTAGGTACCAATCAGTTTTCAGTTGAATGAATGGCAAGTTCTTCTACCAGTGACTTACCCATTTTGTTTACACTATCTTTTGTTACAGATAAGTTTTCATTTTTAATAGTCAAATTTATTGGTCCTTTGCAGAGGTGTCCAACTTGCCAGATGCATGCTGATTTTGTGAGGACTTTTTTGCTTATCTGTGGTGTTGGATAGCATGAAAAGTATACACGGATCCTTTTTTTCCTAATTAGTTTTTTTTGGGGGGGGTTGTTTGTTTGTTTGTTTGTTTTTTGAGATAGAGCCTCAAGCTGTCACCCTGGGTAGAGTGCCGTGGCATCACAGCTCATAGCAACCTCCAGCTCCTAGGCTCAAGTGATTCTCCTCCCTCCATCTCCCAAGTAGCTGGGTTTACAGTCACCCACAATGCCCAGCTTTTTTTTTTTGGTTGCAGCCGCCATTGTTGTTTGGTGGGCCTGGGCTGGATTCAAACCCACCAGCTCAGGTGTATGTGGCTGGCACTTTAGCCGCTTGAGCCACAGGCACTGAGCCCTAATTAGCTTTCATTACTGTTTGTGTATACTCTTGTTCCTCCTACAATATGTAGCAGAAAAGAAATAAGATTGGACACCCCTGCCAGTTTATGCTTAGTTTTTTAGTGAACAATATCAAGAACTGTAGTTAATTTTTTGGGGGGCGGGGACAGAGTCGCCCTTGGGAGAGTGCCTTGCTCACAGCAACCTCAAACCTTTGGACTCAAGCTATTCCCTTGCCTCAGCCTCCCAAGTGGCTGGGACTTCAGGCACCTGCCACGCCTGGCTATTTTTTAGAGACGAGGTCTCACTCTGATTCAGGCTGGTCTCAAGCCTGTGAGCTCAGACAATCCACTTGCCTCAGCCTCCCAGAGTGCTAGGATTACAGGCATGAGCCACCACACTTGGCCTTGCAGTTAACTCTTAATGCATGCTTATTTATACTAGTCATTTTTATAAGCATTTCGGGTGGATTATTTCTTTACAGTTCCTCCCTGAAGGATGTTTCTTCACATCATCCTCATTTTACAAATGAGAAAACAAAGGCAGAAAGATTATATAACTTGCCCAAAGTCATAACTATTTCAGAATGTGTTTATAAAGTAGAGATTTGAAGCAGGCAGTCTGGCTCTAAAGCCTACATACTTTTAACTTCTAGTTTAGCTTTTAAAAATCTTTCCCTATCATTAGGACATAAAGTTATTATCCCAAATTTTCTCCTAAAAGGCCCATGCTTTGCTTTTCTCATTTAGATCTTTAAGTCATATAGAATTTATTTTCAATATGCTATGAGACAGGAATCTTAATTTTTTCACTCCATCTCAAATTACCAACTGAACCACCACTGCATAAAATAGCAACACCATTGATTCATAAGGTCATCTTTGTCATGTCATGCAAATTCTATGCATCTATTAATATGTTCTGGGTTTTCTGTATTCTGTTCCATAGGTTTATTCTGTATTCTGTTCCATAGGTTTATTTGTCCATCACTTAACCTACCTTAATTACTATAGTTCTATCATAAATTTTGATATCTGAAGAACATTTACTTCAATTTGTTCTTCTTTAATGTTACCTTGATTATTTAAAAACCTTCCAGTATTTTGACAATGAATTGATCTTACACATTAAAACCGGAAAAACCCGACACCTTACTGATTTTTCCAATTCATACAACCATGTTGTTGAGTTTTTTTAATTACAATTACTATATTTTCACTTCTAAAGTTTCTGTCATTTTCATATCCACCTAACCTTTTTCTATTTACATTTCATAATTGTTTTGATTTAAAAGCTATTGCCCCCTTGCTTTTCTCTTTGAAAACCCTAAATATGTAATCTAATATTTTCATGCCAACCACACATCCAGACTGAACTGCTCTTTTTTTAAAATTTAGAACAGAAATTTATTTTCCATAGTTTTAAAAGCTAAGTCCAAAATCAAGATTCACTGCCTGGTGAGGGCCCATTATTCGGTTCACGGTGCTTTTTTGCTGTGTCCTCACATGGTGGTAGGAGGGCTGAATTGCTCTTCTGATTACTGACTTTATTTCATATCTTCCTTAGCATGAGATGGCTTTGTATGTTTGAGAATTTAGCTTTACAGGTGCACTTTTAATGGACTGTTTTTGTTTTCATACAAATACTGAGAATCCACGGCTTGCTATTTTTTTAAATAACCACGATATGCCAGGTCCGGGTGGCTCACACATATAATCCTAGCACTCTGGAAGGCCAAGGTAGGAGGATCATTTAAGGTCAAAAGCTCAAGACCAATCTAAGCGAGACCTGATCTCTACCAAAAATAGAAAAAAACGGCCAGGCATGGTGGCGGGCAACTAGTCCCAGCTACCCGGGAAGCTGAGGCATGAGGATAGCTAGAGCCCAGAAACTTGAGGTTGCAGTGAGCTATGATGACTCCACTGTACTCTATCCAGGGTGACAGAATAAGACTGTCTCAGGTTAAAAACACACACACACACACAATACCATAATCATACTAAATCATTTTAAAACTAACAATTTCTGATATTAAATGATCAGTCAGTGTTCAGATTTCCTCAGTTTTCTCTTAAATACTTTTCTCAGGGGATTCTGCACTACAACAGCAGGGAGGATATACCCTGAGCTAGCAGGTTCCTAGTTATAGAGCTATGGTTGTTCTCCTTAATGCCTAGATACATAGCTTCAGATACACTATAGCCCCTGACAAGAGTCAGCAACAAATCTATTTCTCACAGCCAGGGAGGTTGTGCCCTATACCACCCCAGGAGATGCACTCAGTAACTACAATCTGATCCCTAAAGTTGAATAACATGCAGCCCCAGAATCAAACTCAGAAACATCTTCAAGAGGGGAGACTTATTCTGGTCCATGGTTTCCAACAACAAGCCCAACTCCAATTATACTTCCCCATGACCCATAAGCAGTCAAAACCTCAGCTGCCTTTACCTACAGACCCAAGAATAGCCCTGCTCAATGTATGTGTTCTATTCCCTTCCTGAAACAGAAATGTTTACCTTTTTTGAGTCCCATTTATATCCATTTGGTTTTCTCTTTTTGTTATTTTATCAATCATTACTTTGTGTTTTTCAAAAAGGGAATATCTCAAAATACCACTCACAAATCCATCTTGATGGCAAGCAGTCCTTGCTCACCTGCTTGAAAAATCAACATTTGTAATTCCCAGGCATGAGGATTCCTAAGAATCATCTGGGGAACTTTTTAAAAATATTCATTTCTATGCACAGTACTAGTTCTGCCTTAGAAAAATACAGGAAATTCTATCATTACTGGTCCCAAGAACAGTATCTGGAAATCACTCTATTCCCAAGTGTTTGGAAACTCACTCTCCACTCCCTTACCACTATTCTCACAAAGCAAGATACTGAGACTGCTCTTTGAAAAAGTCACCAATTAGCACAGAATTGCCAAATCCAAAGGCCTCTTCTTTTTTTTTTTTTTTTTTTTTTTTGAGACAGAGCCTCAAGCTGTTCCCCTGGGTAGAGTGCCGTGGCATTACAGCTCACAGCAACCTCCAACTCCTGGGCTCAAGCGAGTCTCCTGCCTCCGCCTCCCAAGTAGCTGGGACCACAGGCACCCGCCACAACACCCGGCTATTTTTTGGTTGCAGCCATCGTTGTTTTGGCGGGTCCGGGCTGGGGATTCGAACCCGCCACCTTAGGTGTACGTGGCTGGCGCCTTAGCCGGTTAAGCTATAGGCGCCGAGCCAAAGGCCTCTTCTTGATCTTCACCTTAACACACCACACTACAGCCACCTGTCTAAAGCAGCCAACTCTTTGTTCTTGAAAATTCCCTAACATAGGTTATTTTTCTTAAAATCTTCCTGCTAGGCTTAACTCTTTCTCCAACTCACTCTTACAGCTCCTTTTCTATTACTTCATTTTAAAAGCAAAAATACTCTCCAAGATTCTGGTCTCAACCTAGTGATCTGGATGATTTTATCCAGCCCACAACCTATAATTCATTCCTTTACCTGTCATTTAGGGATGCTTGTGCACCTCAATGGCAAAACTAAGTAGCTGTGACAGAAATCATATGGCCCACAAAGCCAAAAATGTTTGCTATATAGTCCTTTATAGAAAAAATTAGCTAGATGAAATAGTAGCACATGTCTATAGTCCCAGCTACTCAGGAGGCTAAGGCAGATTTGCTTGAGCCCAGAAGTTAAGAGTTCAGCCTCAGCAGCACAATGAACCTGTTCTAAGATGGTGGGAAGAAGAGAGGGAGGTAGAAAGGGGAGGAAACAAGAGAAGGGGACGGAGAAGGGACAAAAAGAAAGATATAAAGAAAAGAAAGAAAATTTGTTGACCCTTGTTCTAGGGGTAGCTGGTAAAAAAAAAAAATTTAAAGTATAATTTTCCAACTAGTAGAGTAAAAAAAAAATGGAAGAATAAAAATAATCAATTCAAAAGAAGGGGGGAAAGTCAACCGACAGAACAACTGGAAGCAAATAGTAAGTTTTAAAACTAAACAAAACAGTAACTGCATTAAATGTAAACACTCTGGTTAAAAGACTAAGATTGCTAGACTTATAACCTCTATAATGAGGATACAGAATCTGCGAGTTTAAAAAAGGAGAAGATACACCATGTGAACAGTAGCCAAAAGAAAGTTGGTATAATCAGAATAACCTCAAGCAAAACAGAAAAATAAAAGCTGAATTAAATATACCTTAAGTTCCGTTTAGCCCTTCCATACTATTATTTTAGGTTTAAACCTCAGACAAAGGTCTCTGGATATCACTGGTGACCTGGAAAAAAAGCAAGAAATAGAGGAAGACTGTAAGTTAAGGAGGAGATAATAAAGTGGCAAGCTAAGTAGACTAGCAGATATTAATCAAATCTACTATAAAGAAATGAAAGAGAAGCAGTGTGAATGAAATGTTTATTAGTTAAGGGGCTTGGGAACACAAATGTATGATTACATACATAAACAGACTCAAGTCGAGAAGCATAAATTAAAAACTAAAGAAAAAGGTTTAATTGGTGAGCCAGAATTCCCTGGTTAGCAAAACAAAATGAATTAGGTCAAAAGTAGACAGATGCCTCTCAGGAAGAAAAGACACTTTCTTTTACTGAAAGAATTTAAAAAAGAAAGAGTAATGAAACAGACTACAGATTTTGACAAGACGTGTGACAAGAGTACATCTGATCACTAGATCAGCTGATCTTCATCACTAGATCGTACATAGGAACCTAAGTTTTACTTTTAGGAAAGCAATGCCAAATGAAAGCCAAATAGGGTGCTGAAAGAAAAGACATTTTACAGTATTTTAATTGAAAAACAGGTGGTGGGTGAAATGAATTATCTTACAGGTTTATCGGTTTAGCTACCCCAGAAATAATCTGTACCTTTTAGTGAATATATTGTGTTTTCCTTTGAAAGACTTTCTTCTTCCTTGTCATCTGACACAGTTTGAGTGGACTGACCTCCTTACCCAGATAAGGGGGAAGAGGAACGTCAGTGCTGATCACTGAGATTCTATACTGGAACTTTTGCTGTAACTACAGGAAAAGAAGCATAACTTTTTTCACTAAGGCTGCTAAGCTAGAAAAATGTAAACCTAGAGCTGCTAGTAGCCATTTTCCCTGAATATATAGAAGCTTCCTCTCTGCAATAAAAGAAAAAATTAACTGACACACATAGCAAAGCCTTATCAACATATTTGAGCCACTAAATCTAGCTGTGCCTCAAATAAGCCTGACCACTGAACTTCCTTGTTAAGTGTGCCAATAAATTCCTTTTTATTTCCTAAGTCCCTCTTATTTCTGTTGTCTATAATCAAAAGAACCCAATAATATAGGTAGCAATCCAGTGCAATACCCCTTGAAAATACAGATACCCTTGTTATCCACATTCCTGATTTCTGGAAATCCCATAATCTACATTTAAGAACCAAATGTATTTGAGTAAAATCCTGAATATTTCCTTCATTATCTTTCTATATGCTATCCAAACTTGGGGAATCAAATAGACTCAAACAAGCTTGTACCTACCCCCTGACATCTAAATTCACTAACCAAACAGAAGCAGATCTGGACAATTACAAATACTTACAATGTCCATCATGAAGAAATATAGAAAGGAATCTATAATATGAAATTTTTTAATATGGAAAATTATATATAAAGATATATATATAAATGTATTGAAATTTGGAATTTTTTAAATTTTCCTTTAATATTTTCACTAAAAATAAGTTTGACATACATTACCTCATTTGAATTGAACAGAATTCTCTGGACCAAATAAACTATTACCTTTCAAATCAGAAAATTAAGGCCTAAATAGAAAAAACATCTATGAGAATTTACTTTATGATAAAGATGGCATTTTAACTCAGCAGGGAAAAAAGAGATTACTGAATAAATGATGTGGGGATTACTGACTATGAAAATAAAACAAACATATAAAGAGTTATGCACATTGCCAACATTTATATTGCAATCAGACACTGCCGTATCTTTTATAAAGAAAATTACTTAATATTCTTATTTTCTATCTCAATGTAGTCACTTCAAAAGTACATGCTAACAGAGGGAGGGAAACAATGTGGTGAGACAGTTGCTGTGGCCAGAAGGGTGTGGTTCAGAATAGGCCAGTTTATGATGAGATTCACTGGACAGAGTTAGAAGGGACTAATTATAGAGGAAAACTGTGGTGAAGAAAGAAAATAGGGAATATAGTTTCCTTTAAATTAGAAGTTCAGTTAAAAAGATAAAAAAGAAGTTAACTAAAATTTTTAATGTAGTGTTCTGTCCAGTGTTCTGTGGTATGTTAAAATCTATCTCCAAAATATATATATTAATGTTGCTTTTGCTTTTTTACCAAGTTCTTAAGGTTGTTTTCCTAGGGGGATACTTGCTTTATCACAACAACCTATTCACAAATGTTTTAAATAGGATCACTCATGGTCATTCAGTAGCAAGAGAAGTTAAAAGAACTGAATCCAGCAAATGCATGCTTTAAAAATTAAAAACCTAACTTTGTCATTAAAAAAAATAACTCAAAGCAAAGGTCTCCCAGTACATACAGAAAGGAGAACACTGTAATACCATGGCAAGCTCCATTTGAGAAAACATTACTGATTTAGCTATAGCTGTAAACATCATGGGGAAAGAGCCGTCAAACATTTTAAATATATTTTAGACAAATAACTAGGGAGAAGTGATGTTTAAGACCTAATAGTCATGGTTCTTCATTCTTTAGTGCTTACAAATGAAGCACTAAAGAACGCTTTCTTCAGAAGTGCACAGAATGTACATAGTTACCATTCAATAAAAAAAAAAAAAAGAATGCTTTCTTCCATAAAGAAACATAGTCACTATCATAACATATAATCACATATGTAAATATATATGTAATTTATTTAGATACATGAACACTTAGATTTTTTAATTTTCCAAATTATATATTTAGTAGTGATTTTCATTTTTCAAAGCCCCCCAAAATACTCTCTTTACAAACCCATTTCTTCCTCTTCCTGGGAACACAGCTAAGCTTTATTTCCCTACCTTCCCTGTAATTACATGTGGCCATGTGACCAAATCCTAGACCAATGATATGTAGGACAGAAGTGATGTACATTTCCTCCCAGCTGAGCAAATGAAAGCTCCTAAAAGGAGCTGGTTTCCTAGGCTGCTAGAAGAACACAGAGCCACTAGATATAAAGAGTATGAGTTCCAAATGGCCACATGGAGATGAGTGCCCACTATCACTGCATCCCCATCCACCTATATTGGACTACGATGTAAATGACAAATTTTTAATTATACAGAGCTGCTAATAATGGACAGTTGTTGAGGCACACCCGTTAGCATCCACTGACTCATCCACTGCTATAAAATTTTTCCAAACTATAAGGAATCCTATGAGGAAATTCCTTTTATAATCTATCAGTAACCACTATAGGTCTGCCTTTAAAATACACAGGTCCTGAATCTAACCTCTTCTTATCATTCCCATCTCTACCACCTTTCAAAACTCACTATCATTCCCTCACCAGGCTTTCCTTAACATAACTAAATAAAAGGGAAACCTCTTAGTGTGGTCTAAAAGGACATACATACTCTCCCCTCCTCAAACTTCACCTTTTCTCACTCCATTTCACCTTAATAGTCTTTTTTCTATTATTATGCTTCTTCAGAACTTTTACACTTCCTACCTGAAGCCTTTCCTTACTACCATATTTAAAATAAGCCTCTCTCCCCATCTTCCACTGATCTATTTCCCGGATCCTGACTTTTTTAACAGATAACCTGATGTACTACCTAAAACTGTATTATTGAGTTTTTTATTGTCTGACTTCCCCATTAGAAGATAAAAGGCTTTACACACATACAAAAAAAAAAGAAGATAAAAGGCTTCATCTTTTGCATCACTGGTATCTAAAGCTCAAAAATATATTTGTTGAAGGAGTAAACAAACATACTAAGCAATCATTTTTCTTTTTTTTTTTTGGCCAGGGTTGGGTTTGAACCCACCACCTCTGGCATATGAGGCCGGTACCCTACCCTTTTGAGCCACAGGCACCGCCCTAAGCAATCATTTTTACTGCTTAACATATTCACTTTACTAAATTTCACAATTTTCTATTAACTTTCTCATCTATCTTCGTGCATAATGTATAAATACTGCATTATTTGACTTCAAGCTATTTTCAACAATAATTTGAGATGTCAAACTTTAAAAATTAGCAAGTTGACCAACCACAGTGGCTCACCGCTATAATCCTAGCATTTGGGGAGGCCAACGTGGGAGGATAGCTTGAGGTCAGAAGTTTGAGTTTGCAGTGAGTTATGACAACACCACTGCTCTTCAGCCCACTATACTCCAGCCCTAGCAAAAGACTATCTGTTAAAACAAACAAAAAAAAAAAGCAAGTAATCAAAGTCCTCCTGAGGAGATAATCAATGATTCTGACTCAGTAAGCATGCCTAGCAATGTGAATAGAAGACTGGAGTTTAGAAATGAAGGTTTAACTGCTGGTCATTGCAGCAGTTAACCTCAAGAATACTGCTAAAGGACAGTGTTTCCAAAAGTAAAAGAGCAAGAAATAATGATAAAAAATATTTTAAACTATAAAGAACAGATAAGCTGTTATGTTCATATGTTAATATTCACATAATGGAACATTACTCAACAACAAAAAAGAATGCACAACAACTAAAAAACACAATGTTATGCAAAGAAAGCCAGACACAAAAAGCACACAGATAAGATTACACCAAGAACAGACAAAATAATCTATAGTGGGAGAAATAAAGTATAGATGGGACCCAGGTGCACTGGCTCACAGCTATAATCCTAGCACTCCGGGAGGCTGAGGCAGGAAGTTTGCTTGAATTCAGGAGTTGGAGACTAGCCTGACAAGAGTGAGACCCCCATCCCTACTAAAAATAGAAAACAAATTAACCAGCTGCTGTTCTGGACACCTGTAGTCCCAGCTACTCAGGAGGCTAAAGCAGGAGGAGTGCTTGAGCCCACGATTTTGAGATTGCTGTGAGCAAGGCTCACACCACAGCACTCTAACCCAAGCAACAGAGCAAGACTCCATCTCAAAAAAAAAAAAAAAAAAAAAGGCAGATAGATAGATAGACAGACAGATAGAAAGACAGGCAGGCAGGCAGGGGAGACAGGATTGACTGTAACTAGAGGAAATTTTCTGGGATTGACTGAAATGTTCTATATCTTATTTTTGGTAGTGGTTATACTAGTGTATACCATTTTCAAAAC